ATGTTAGTGCATGTGAGCGTGCCTGACTGGTTAGCTCCAGGCTATTTCTTTTTTTTGCTACCATCCCAAAAAATAATTTCAACCGCTCTGAAGTCAATCAGAAATTCTAAATGTTGGACTGTTATAGTCATTATTTTGTGCATAAAAAAGGAAATAAAAGATTTTATTTTTATTGATTGAAACACATCTCATCATTATTATTTATACTGATATATAATAATGAGCTTAGAGCTCGTGTTAGGAAGTTACACAGCTCATAATTCATCTCTAATATCTGTTTTATATTAACGTGAAAACATCTCCTTCAAACTACTGGATTTATTCTAGTTTATCACCAAAACTACATTTTACAGATTACACGTGAACACATCATGATAACGTTATAATGAACCTTCACTGCTTTGTCTCAGCCAGCAGAGAATTTACAAGAACAAAGAAACAAGCTAAACATCTATGGCCTGAGTCCACGTAGTCTTCTTCGTAGGTGAAACTCGAGCTCAAGAATTTCTATTATTTCGTGTCTTTTCAGCTGTTTGCACACCGAAAGGTTGACGCATACCGAACCGATTGTCTTGTACCGAACAGGTACCCATCCGTACCTTCAGGTTATTATGAATGAATCATATACATCGCTGTTGATCGAAATAGGGATCAAGAATAATCACAATATATCACAATAAAACTGTTGCAAGTTAGTTAGTTTCTTAATTAATCATAGGTGTGTTTTAGGCGTAACATGATTCAAACCAATCATAGTGTCATCTACCACTCTGCTATTTAAATCGTGGATTCAGCTCATTGGAGAAGCCAGCGATTTTCTGCAGTAAACAACTATAAATTGAAGCAGAATATTTCGTTAAATAAATAAAAAAATTTAGATTATTATTTTATTTTCAATAAAGTTTGACTTTTGGAGTTCAGAACGCTAAAGTCACACAAGTCAGAAACAATCCTACTCAGCCACCACTGGAATCTAATTGTACAAACAGTTTAACACTGATACTATTAGAGGACCCTGATCTTTACCTGCACCAGTGCAGAAACACTGTGTTTAAACACAATGAATACACACGCTAAACAAAAAGCTCCGCAGCATTCACATATTGATATTCATAGTTGGCTATATGTCGCTGTCCATTGATGGCGGGTGCTGAATTAATGTTGCCATGACATATTGTGAAGGGAGAGACGGGACAGGTATGTGGTCCTCGGCCGGTGGACCCTCTGCCTCCGCCGTCCCCCAATCCTCTCCTCACACCAGGCGCACAGATGGGCACAAATACTTACACAATGTGGGCGCTGGGCATGAAAATGACAACTGTGTCGAGAGGAAACTTGCAATGACTTGCTCTGCACTTTTAACAGAGGTGTTTTTCCCCCAACAGCATTAATGATGATTTTCCTTATATTCCACTGATCCTAGTTTGATTTTATTAAACAAACAATCAAAAGTTATGTAATAACAGTTTTGTTTTTGTCACACTTGTTGTCTTCAGAGTGTAGATATGTCTGCTGCCAGCTGTCTGCTGACTGAAGATCAGTTTCTGTGCTCCATCTGTCTGAATGTGTTCACTGATCCAGTCACCATACCATGTGGACACAACTTCTGTAAAACCTGCATCACTCAACACTGGGATATTGATGTCCCTTATCAGTGTCCAAACTGTAAAGAGGTGTTCAACTATAGACCTGAGCTGCGGGTCAATACTTTCATCTCTGAGATGGCTGCTCAGTTCAGACAGTCAGCTCAACAGAAAGCCAGCAGCAGCAGCTCAGAGCAACAAGCTGCCAAACCAGGAGAAGTTCCCTGTGACGTCTGCACTGGAACCAAACTGAAGCCCTGGATGCTCTACCTGTTGGGTCTGATGTGTGTTTTCATGCTCTGGATAGCTTTAGACCACAAAACACAGGTTGTTGTTCTACTGAAGGAAGAATACGAAGGAACGAAGGCCGAGCTGGAGAGGACAAAGACTGAAATCCAGCAGATGATCCAAGAGAGAGAAATAATGATTTATGAGATGAAACACTCAGTGGAGCTCAGTGAGGAAGATGCAGACAGAGAGATAGCAGATGGTGTTCAGGTCTTCACCGCTCTGAAGGAGTCTGTT